GGGACAGGGATGGGGACAGGGATAGGGACAGGAACGGGGACAGAGACAGGGACGGGGATCGGGGCAAGGATCGCGACAGGGACAGCGACAGCGACAGGGACCGGGGCCGCGACAGGGACCGGAATCGCCACGGGGACGAGGATCGCGACAGGGACCACACAACCGGGTCCATTGCACACCAGGGTCCCTGCCCCGCACACCGAGTCCATCACAGACTCGGTCTCTTCCCCGTATTCCCGGGTCCATCACTCACGCGTGTCCATCATCCACTCATGTCCATTGTCATCCCCGGTGTCCATCACCCACAATCCCTGTCCATCACCCCTGGTGTCCATCACCACCAGATCCCTGCCCGGCACACCCGGTGTCCGAGCCAGGGTCCACCCCCACCCTGCTCCTGCCCTGGCAGCGTTGGGCAGGGAAGTGAGGGAATGGGGAATGCACCGGTGGAGAATGTTCTTTATTTGGTAAGCACTATGATCGGTAGATGGGAAAAGGATTGGAGGGGCTGGAGCGTGTCCAGGGATGGGAATGGAGCCCCAGGAGCGGCTGAGGGAGCTGGGGAAGGGGCTCAGCCTGGAGCAAAGGGGGATCAGGGGGGACCTTGTGGCTCTGCACAACTCCCTGACAGGAGGGGACAGCCAGGGGGGTCAGGCTGTGCTGCAGGGAACAGGGACAGGAGGAGAGGGAACGGCCTCAGGCTGGGCCAGGGCAGGCTCAGGGTGGGCACCAGGAGGAATTTCCTTTAGTAAGAACATCGAGTCTACTGTCACGCTTTATAAAATGAGGTTCCATTACACACACAGAGAACAGGAAAGCTCTTGGTCCTCATTAACAGCAGTTCTCACATTTAGACACGTGCAGGTGCTCAAAGTCCACCCCACCTTTGGCAGAAACACTGCAATAATAACACACTGCTGGGTCCAACGCCATGGAGGTGACATTTTCCAGGTCAGAAAWCAGCACAGGAGCTGCTGGAGCCCCYGAAACCCACAGGAGCTGYTCTACCTCAGAGTCACACCCAGCTGTTGCTTCATTTCCTCCCGAAATCGCAGCTGCATCTCCGCTGCCTCCCGGCTGCTCAGAGCCCTGTCACAGGACTGGAAAGTCACCCTGTAGCAAAGACTCCTCCGTCCTGTCCCTGGCTGCTGGAAACTGTCCCTTAACTGCATAGAAATGATCATTTCACCTGACACCCTCCTGGCGAGGGTGTGAAAAGCCATTTCATCAAACTGCTCGCCGTCAGGAAGCCAGAAGCTGATGTCGTGCACGTAGGAAGGCGGATAGAGGGAAAAACTCTGGAAAAGCCTCAGCTCTCCCTCGGGAAACTGCCTGAGGAAGCGCCTGTCCGATGTCCAGAGCATCCTCCAGTCRGATATTCCACACAGCAGCATGGCCAGCAGGTCCAGGTTCAGCGAGGCTGAGATAAAAACCAGCTCAGGGCTTTTTAATTCATGAGGAGCTGTCCTGATAACCCCCACGCAGGGGCCTGAGCTGTCTGGGTCTGTCCCCACGCACAGAAAGTGCTGAATTTCACCCAGCTGACCTTCAAAAGCGGCAAAGTCACTTAGCTCCGTTCCAAAACTTGTTGCTTCCCGCAGGCTGATGCTGGGTTTAGTGCCAGAAGTGGCCTGGTGAAGAGAATTTGTGGTGGATTTAATGTTGTCCACCAACATCTGGATACAGCTGTTCTCTGTGCCCCTGCTGACTGCCAGGACAACRAGCATCTCATGGAAAACAGGCATGGAGTGAGGAGAGATCCGACATTTCCTGAAAACTGGCCCAGAAAAAACGTGAAGCGTCCCTGGGGGAAAATCTCCTTTTTGTGTTATTGCCTGAGCATGGGGCAGGAGGGATGGCCTGAGATAAAACTGCTTTGGGATGGAGCATTCCTCTTTTGCATCCTTATCCATGTCCTGGCCAAAATGGGAAAATAAAACCTCATTTTCCAGTCCTTGAGACATTTCCTCAGTGCTGGGAGCCTCCTCGGGGCTYGGAGTGATCCAGAAAACACTGGAGGGGCAAACACCATCGGGGTGAGCCTGGTGGAGCAGAGGAAGGCAGGAGTTGATGTTCTGCACTGGGAAAACCTGGCTGAGCCCTGCACTGAGCTTCTCCTTGATTGTCCTTACAGGATGGTTTGAATTCACATCAAGGAAACCCCTGTGGAAAAGAAAAGTGTAAATTACGGACACCACCAGACAGATTCCCTCCCTGTGGAAAAAAAAAAGTGCAATTTACAGACACCTCACACGGATTTCCTTCCTGTGCAAAAGTGCAAATTAGACACCACCACACAGATTTCTTCCCTGTGGAAAATAAAAGTGCAATTTACAGACAATATGACACAGATTTCCTTCTTGAGGAAAATAAAAGTGTAAATTACACATACCACCACACAGATTTCCTCCTCATGGAAGTAATTTGAGTGCAGCAATTTGCCCAAAACATTCTCCAGCCAGAACTACCWGACCAAGCCAAGTCTTTCCCCAAAGGTGCTGCACATTTTCAGGGTGGTGGTGTTCATCCCCAGGTCACAACCAAGAATTAACTCCAATTTTTCTGGTCAAAAAGGACTTGGCAATCACCACATCCATTTATTTGTCCCCTCTGCTGCTCATTCCCACTGAGAGCAGGGGAGCTGCTATTGCCAAACAGAAACTAATTCTAAAACTCACCTATTAATCTTATCCACGAGGATTTGTGGCACTCGAAAAGAAACTTTCTGGCTTCCCACTCGTGCCTTGCAGCTCAGGGGTGTGCAACACAGGAGTGCTGTGCTCCGTGTGAAAATGTGGTTCAAAGCACCCTCTACATGGAAGGATTTATCCTGACTCCTGAAAATGCACAAAACCAGAGCAAAGTCAGGGACTATTTCTGATATTTCATGTAGGCAGGACCAGATGAAGGCCAGAGGTCCCTGCCAGCACCAACCCCCAGTCCTCCTGTCTTTAGGCTGAGATTGATATTTGTGCTGAAACTGATGCTTTTGACCTTTAAAATCCTCAGAAAAATCTTATTTTTAGAGGGCGTTTTGGCAGGAAGCTTGCATTTTAATTTCGGCTGTTCTGCTTAGAGATGCATGAGAACTGCAGCTATTTTAAGGAAAATTTTAAGGGAAATATTAAGGAAAATTTTAAGGGAAATTTTAAGGGAAATGTTAAGGAAAATTTTAAAGAAAATGTTAAAAATTTTAAAGAAAATGTTAAGGTAAATTTCAAGGAAAATTCAAAGGATTTCCTCTCCAGCACACAAAACACTACAAGAATATTCTAATGCTGGGCATCATAAGAGCACAAATATCAGAATTCCAGTTTTGCCCCATTACCTGTAACCCGTGCATTTGTAACCCTGGATATTTTCTGCTCCGAAAGGATGAACGTGGCTCAGGATAAAGCCAGCTCCTGCTGCCACAGCCACGATTTGCCAGCTGTTGTGCCAGTCCCTGGGTGGCTGATCCGCAGGAGTGCCACCCTGCCCATTGCAMAGGGCCACRTGCACCTCRCCCTCCTCTGCCAGCACYTCTGAGCAGCTGGAAAAGAAGCCARGAAATRARGAAARMCCTKTTAGCACAGCCACAGAATTCCCARTKCTGGAAAAACAGCTGGAGCACAGCTGGAGCACAGCTGGAGAGCTGGCAGCAGCAGGTAATGAGCACGGAATTATTTCTGGGTCACTCACCTATGGAAAAAGCCAGCAAGGAGCTGCCTGTTCTTCACCACCCCTGCCTTCCTCCCACAGTGAGGGAAGTTGAAATAAAYGCGATGGAATTCCCGTTTTCCCGGGGAAAAGTGTTCCCTCAGCTTGGTGCAGTCCACAGAAAACACAACCTCGGCTCCTGCAACGGCAGACGGGGAGCGAGGCTCTGATGTTTGTCAGGAAGGAAAATTTTAAAGGAAGGTGGGAATGCAAGTGCTGCAGGGCGTTTTTAAGAGTGTGAGAACTGCCGGGCATCCCCACAAGTTCTGGGAATACCAGGAAGGCCGGGCTCTCTCTGCCCTTTGCCCTTGCCCTCCTTCAAGGCAGCAGAAACTTCTGAAAACAGTTGAAAAGAGTTGTTTCAGTGCTATTTCAGCCAGATCCCATTTTAAGGTATTTGTTTCAGCCGGCTGGCTGAAACATCTCTCTCCTGAGATGCCTGGAGTGGTGGGAGCTCCCAAGGGATGCGGCAGCGGGGGATCCGCGGGGCAATGACACCACTTTGGGTGACAGGAGGGTGACAGAGATGCC